GGAGGGCCTCTTGGGGCCATCTTGGGGGCCATCGATCAAAAGGGGGGGTGTCCTCGGTTTGCTTTGCCCATATGGGGCCATCATGATCGCCTCTTTGGGCCCTCTTGCTCTGGGGCGCTCTTGGGGCTGCCTGGGGGCCCTCTTGAGCCCCGCTTGGGCCTCTTTCGGACCATATTGAGGCCTCAAACTCGCATCGGAAGCAATAAGGCGAGAAGGCGGCAATGTTTTGTTTGTTCCCCAGGTTTTTGTAGAGATTTAGCTCCTTTGGGGGGGTCCTGCTCCGAGGCACTCGGAACCATCTTGTGGCCCTCATCGGGCCTCTTGGAGGTATGTCGGAAGTTATCTTGAACCATCGTCGGCTATCTTGAGCCATCTTGGAGGCTACCTTGGAGCATTGGACGCGCTCTTGGAGCCATCTTAGACGAGCTTGGGCGCCCTGACACTCCGCGAAACCTTCCAAAACACATCAGGGAGGGAAGGGTGAGGGTACCCCTCCCCGAAGTTAGACCACCTTAGCCCAAAGAGCTGGCGGGATTCTCATCGTCATCATCACGACCACTTCGTCATGGTCGATATCCAGCTGCCTGCGGCAAGTCCCGCCACCGCGCCAGCGCGGCAGGAAGGAGGGTGAGCTCGTAATACCCGTTCCAGCTCAGCGCTCTGTCTGAGTCAGCAGCTAGCGCGCGTCTGCAACACCACTTCCTGTCCGCAGCCTCGTTCTCTTCCTCTTCCTCCAGCTTGACAGCTTCTTGGGGGCTTCTTCGGGCCTCTGGGGGGCCTCGCGGGGCCCTCTTGGGGCCCGTTCTGGGCTGGCTGGGGGCCCGTTTGGGGTTGCGGGTCGTCTTTGCACGTGATGGAACTAGCAAGCTCTCCCAAGGAGTCTCGATTGAACCATCTTGGGAACGTTTGGGCTGCTCTTCGGGCCGTCTCGGAGTCCTTTTGGGACGTTCTTGGGCTTTCCTGGAGGTGTCTCTGTCCTTCGTTGGCCCCGTCTTGGGGCTATCTTCGGGCCTCCTTGGGCCGTCTGTTGGTCTTCTGGAGGCTTTTCCTAGTTTTCCCGAGACGATACTAGCCCGAAACATTTTACATGTCCTGGTCTTCGGGACTCGCTGGAGGCGTCTTTGGGCGTCTCTTTGAGGTCTCTTGCAGCCTCCTCGGGCATCTTGTGGAGATCTTGGTTCCTTCGGGGGCTTGCCGTTTTTGGTTGGTCTTGGGGTGTCTCGCGGCCGTCTTGGGGCCATCTTGGGCGCGTCTGGGGGCCGGAAGAGCGCCAGCGATGGAACGCTAGTGAGAATGGGCAATTTCCAAGCCCGGTCGTGATGAGGGGGTGTCGCCGTTAGAGAACTACTCGTGGGCGTCCGGGGGTTGGGGCGGAAGACTTGGGGGTGGTGGGTACCATGGCCGTGACCACGAAGGCCCCCTGATTTCATGGCCCCCTATAGTAGGTTCGCGTCGTGTTGACTGGCGGCGATTCCGCCGCCGGGGTTCAACGTTGAACGCCGCCGGCGACGCAGAATCGGTCGATGTTGAACGATCTGCCGTTTCGGAAACGGCTGATCGTTCTAGCTTGAACGATCGTTCTAGCTTGAACGATCCCCGCGGTGTCAGGAACCAACGCCGTGTGGAAGCCCATGTAAAGAAACACCCTGCTCGCCTCCAGCTCTGGGTTTCTTGGGTTTCGATGCTTTTGCTATGGAGAGCGTGACGTTCCAACCAAAAATCAATGGACGTCCTGGGGTTTCAGGGTTGGGGTTCTTGTGGTCGAGCTCCTACTGGAAACTGCAGTATTCTTTCCCTCAGCACGTCCCCTGGCCTCGCCTGTCCGCGCACACGTCTCGGGTCACGAGGTGCGCGAACCCGCCCCACCTCTTCCTGTTCCCCCCCCTCTCTTCTTCGGCGCCCTCGAGTCGCAGGAGCCCCATCAGACAACCGGCCAGCAAGCCTTCTGGCGCTCCCTGTGGCGCAAGTGCGGGCGGCGGATCGTTCTCCTTTCTCGACCTCCCTCTGGTCTCCTTCCCCGCTCCCTCCGGAGGGCGCGTAATGGGCGGGCGATACATGGTGGGCCGACAGGGGCACCTCTCTCCCCGCCCACGTATTGCCCCCTCATTACTTCGCGCCAAAAGTGTGGGCGGCGGATCGCTCTCCTCTCTCGACCTCCCTCCGGCCTCCTCCCCCGCTCCCTCCTCGCTGGCTCTGCCATCCCTCTTCTCCCTCCTCGCCCCTCCGCCTTTTGCTCCCCTCCCTTTCCGCGGCCCCTGGCGCTCGTTCCCCTTTTTTTCGAAGAGCGGGAGAGAGGGAAGGAGGGAAAAGAACTCTAAACTTATCATGTTCCAACCCACTTAAGCCTTAATCGCCAGGAAGAACTTCGAGCACCAAGGAAATGTCGGAACTGGAGGTTTTTCCCGGGTCGGGCCCTGGGAGGCGATAATCGTTTGACAGCCTCTCGCCAGCGTGTCGGACAGACCCTGTCTCGATGCTTTTCCGGATGCTCGAAATTCGTAGTGTAGCACGATGGGAACAACATAATTAGCCCCAAACAGCAGGAGGAAGAGCAGGAAGGAGAGAGGGAAGGAGAAACGGGAGGCACGGCAACGCTATTTGGGGAGAGGGCCACGCGCCCTCCCCTTCGACTTCCCCCTCCTCCCTCGCCCCTCCTCCTCTCCTGCTTCCCCCCCCCCCCCTCCTGGACCGCCCCCTCCCGCCCCCCCTTCTCCAGGCCGCTCTCACCCTCCCTCCTTCTGCCGCCTGCGGTGACGCTGTTTGCCACCATCGTTGCGCTGGTCGGCCCGTCGTCGTCGTCGTCGTCGTCGTCGTCGTCGTCGTCGTCGTCGCCGTTGTCGGGCACGCTTGGACGGCACGGGGGGCGAGGATGTGCCCTTTCGATTGTCAGGAGGGGAAGTGGAAGAAAAGGAGCAGGGTCGGATGACGAGGAGAGGAGGAGGAGGAGGAGCTGGAGGAGGAGGAGGAATAGAACTGATCATATCAGATGAGGATGACGAGGAGAGGAGGCGGA